GGTGGAAGAGAATGCCGCGGAGGGCTCCCTGGGGCGATCGGGCGGCGCCCAGACGCGGGCGCGCCCGTCGCGACGTGGGTGCGGGCGCGCATTTGCCGAACGATTCCGACGACGGGGAGATGCCCTCGATCCTTGGAGTGACGAGGGGGTTCTGGGGGGCGGAGGGCACCGGCAGCGTTTGCGGTGGGCCCGCGTCGCGCCAGTGCAGGGGCGGGCCAGCGCGCGCGCCCGATGCGCGGGGCGGCGGGCGGGTCGCTCGCGACGGAGGCAGAGTCCAGGCAGCTCCAGCCAGAGTACGTGGTTGAGGACCGCTGCAAAGAGATGACGTGGAGGGGCGGCTGGGGTCGGGAGCTGCGCCGCATTCGGCTTCAGACAGGGGGCGACGCGTGCGGGGGCGTGCCAGATGAGTGTCCCCGCGGGCGTGTCAGGGGTTCTATTCTTGCGTTCGCGTCGGACAATTCCAGTGAGTTTTCTCTGAAGGTGAACGAGCCGTCGGATCAGTGGTATGCGCGGCGTGTAATGGTGTGGGGCGCGGCGGTGAAGATGAAGCCCGTGTTGAAGTCCGTTTGCGCGGTTGACGAGCACGTGCGTTTCGTATGCTCAAACAATGAGTATGAGCAGTGCCTGAAGCAGGGCCATCGTCATCCCGGGGCGCACAAACGGCATGGTCGTTCTGGCTCCGTGTACGAGCAGGGGCCGGAGTGTGGGCGCTATGGGATCGCTGCGAGGTGGCGATAGTCGGTTCATATCCGATGGGGAATCGTACCATGGGCGGGACGGGGGGACGGTGTGCACGTGGTACACCCGGGCGGTATTCAACAAGTGCGGGCAACGGGCCGCGTGCCAGCGAGAACGCAGGGCGGGTGCCTGGCGAGTATCGCGCAGGCGTCCGCGGCGGTGGACTTGGTGAATGCGCGGGGGCCGACGTCGGGGCTTCGCGATTGTCCTGCATGCGAAACTAGGCGCAGTGCGATCGGTGCCGCTGCTGGCGTTTACTTTTGCCTGCCTGCGCTGCGAGGTTCGCTGCGCTGATCTGGACTGGGGAGAGTGGTTGGAGGGGGCGGCGGTTTGGTCTCCAGGGCTGATTGCAGCGTAGGGGGGCCAGCGCGCTGCGCTCGGCGATGGAGGGGTGGGGGTGGGGCGACGCCAGGCCTGGCCCGCGGTGCGAGAGCGGCGTCTCGGGGGTGGTTGGCAGTGTAAAGGGGGCGCGTGGTGGCCCTCGGAGGCGGCGTCTTGGGCGCAAGACGGTTGAGGCTGACGCTGCCGGGTCCGGCGCGGTCCGCGGGGTGCGAAAGCGGCGGCTGGGGTGCAAAACATTCGAGGCGAAGGTTGCCAGGGGCGGCGTTGAGCGCGGGCCGGCGGATGAGGGGCGCGCTGGCGAGGGCGCCGTTGAGGCGGTGGAGGCGCGGAGGGGGCGCGGGCGACTCGCGCGAAAGACTTCGGCGGAAATGCGGGCTGAAGCCGTGGGCTCGGCGCGTGGGGCTGCAGAGGAAAGGCGCCGACGACGATGTCGCCGCTGAGGTAGTGGTGTTATCGGCGTCGGAGCGCGATGACCTTCGTTCTGCGTCGGATTATGAATTCGCCTCGGACTAGGACGCGGCGCCCCTACCGGGCGAGGTCCGCGGCGCGCTCGATGTGGAGCTGATGCGTCTCGCGGGTGCCTGGCCGCCAGCGCGGGCAGACTGGGCGGCGGCGTCGCGCGGCGCCTGTGGCGGAGTGTCGCGCGGCGCGCCGCTCTGGGTTTCCCCGAGACGGGGGCGGGGGTGCGCGGGCGTCGGCAGTGACTGCCGTTCCGTATTTGAGTGCAGAGCGAGTGCAACAGCAGGTTGCCGCTGTGCGGGAGCACTTGGCGTAGCGGCGATGGCGCGGGCGGGCCTGCGTGCGGATTCATGGGTCGGCTGGGGGCAATTCTTGGGTGCTTTGATGGGGCCGGAGCAGCCGGGCTGGTTCGGGCACGCGCTGCTGGAGTTGGGGGATCTCGCGCTCGGTCGTTATTCGCGCGATGAGCGCGTGTCGTGTTTGGAGATTGTCGTGGAGGAGGATTTCCGCTGTCGCTCGTTGTGGCCCCCGGGTGCGCTTCGAACGTGGCATATTGCAAACGGCGGTTGCGGGCGAGAGCGGCGCGACGCAGGGGCGCGCCGTTCGGTGCCGCGATGGGCAGGTCGGGGGCGGGGGGGGGCGCGAACGACTTCCGGGGCTTCGAGCATTGCGAGTCTCGCGTCGCGGCCGGGTTCGCAGCGAATGGTGTGCGTGCCGGGCGACGACGTGGTCGTTTTGCCTGGGGGCGGCCAGCCGCCTGGCAGAGGCCCGCGGACTCTGCGGGGGCGTGGTGGCGGGGGCAGGGCCCGCGCGAGGGCCGGGCGGCGGAGGGGAATGACCCCAGGTTGCTTCGTCGGGGCAGCTTGGGAGGCGCGGAGCGCCCGCGGCCGGCCTGTGGCGGTTTCGCCACAGCTTGGACAGCGAAATGTCCGAGGGAATGCGCCCGGACGCCGTCGGCGTAGCGGCGGGATCGGCCGATGCTGGATGCTGTCGGCTTTCTTGTTGGGCCTCTGGGGCTGCGGCGGGCAGCGTGCCGACCGTGGGGGGTCCTGCCCGGGGTCTGGCGTCCTTGGCCAGCGCGCTCGCGGTGCAGGGATGGCCTCCCGCTTGTGGGCTGGTGCTCTCGGGGTGCTTGGAGGATTGAGCTCGGGCAATGGCGCGCCTGGTTCTTTGCGACCTTGGTCGCAGCCGCCGCCTGGACTAACGTGGAAGTTAGGCCATTGTTCGCCGCGTGCAGCGCGCTGGTCCATTGTCGGGGGGTGGGGCCGCCGTGCCATAGCCAGAACAGCTGTGGGCTCCTTTCTCCCCCCGTTCCCGCTACCGCCCATTTTTATTCCTCTTTTCTCCATCCTCCTTTTCGACCCCCCCCGCCTTCATCTCGCCCCCCCAGTTCAGAGGCATCCTCGGCAAGGGCGGTCGGGGGTTTGTTTGCAGATCCGCTTGTTGAAGTTTCGAAGTGTAGCGCGTTTGCTTTGTGGATGGGCCATGGAGTTATCGCGTCGCCGTGTCGCTCCGTCGAAGATTTGTACGCCGCCAGCATTGTGCTTGGACGGGGTCCTGGAATGTCGGAGGATGTGAAATACAGACGCGCAGTAAAAAAACAAAGCGCAAACTAGACATGTACAGTATGGAAATGCAGCCTACCAGGGCTAATTGGGATGTGATATGAGTTGCAATCGATGGCGTGGTTGTCCGTGCTAACATATTGGTGGGCCTGTCATCGCTTGAGTTGGGTATGTGAACTCCTACATTTTCCAGCGCATGTCGTGCCAGTTTAAAGGATCAGATCCAATATTTGCGTTGGCTGATTTTGTTGAAAACCGAAGGGTTATGTAATCATATCGTGGCGAGCGCCGCGTTGGCGAGCCCTTCGAACTTGTGCGAGAACGCGGAATTGTTGAGAAGGAAACCACCAATGTATCAAACGAGTGTTGTTCAACAGTGAACGTTTTCGCAGCGATGTGCGTTGCCAAGTCGGTCTGTTCACATTTCGACATGTGTACGGGGGGTGTTTGTGCGATACGTGAACTGCCAGATGGTATCCGAGATGTATTGAAGGATTCGGCACTCATGTAAGTGCGAACGCGGACCACATTATTTCGCATTGTTTTGGGTGAGTTTGCGTGGGACGTTTCTCCTGGAGTTTCTGTGTATTCCGCCAAACATGCGGTTACCGCGCAGCTTTGCCCATCCGCGTGGGAGTGCACAACAACGTATCTGGCAACGCATCATGTGTTGTTCTGCATTTTAGAACGGGCTGTCTGCAGGCGCACTGGCTGCATGCAATTCGCAATTACGTCGCATGAAATCCTGGATACATTTTTTTGATTTTTGTGGACGTGTGTGACGGGGGCCAGTGCGGTGCCGAGTTAGCAGCTGCGTCGCCAGAGCCAGCGCTTGCCTATTGTAACATTAACATATCTTGTCGCCCCAGCGCCCCGGGTATGTCGTCCTGGACTGTTGACCGCGTTACCCGATGATTTGAAGCTGCGATGTTGGTTTTTGAATTCTTCCCTCGAGCTTTTGTCAGGCTGATATCTTGGAGTGCGAGTGTATACCGAATCGCTCTACGTGCCCTCTTTTCCTTTTCATCGTCGTCGTCGCCGCCTTCACCGCCACTGGGAGTATCTTTCGTGGCCGCCTGCAGGTATGATCGAACATTTTTTTTCGGCGCTCTGGCGACCTCTATCCTTGGTCGCGTCGGGCTGTCTTCTGGGGCGATTGACCAGCGCTCGCCTCGCCTGCCCTCGCCTCCCCAGTGCAATGTGCAGGATCGAATAGTCACGGATGTACGGTTGCCGAGGTTGGAAGCAGTGTATGGAAGTGGCCCTTTCGCCATGTTGCGCCGCGGTAATTCGTCTTGCAACCTGCAGAGGTTAGACGGATGGAGGGCGTTCTGTTTTCCAGCAAACTCGGGCTCTCGCTCTAGCGCCGCCCATGTTTGTCCTAACGACTGGCGAGAGTGATGAAGGTGACGGACGGCTCGTGTTCAAAATGGAGTTCCCGCCACAGTGCCGCATGATTTTTCACATGTTGCAGCACTTGCAGTAGAATGGACGGCGGTGCCTTTGTAATTTTCCCATGTTTCAGAATTTTTCGCATGTGACAACCAGAGGATCAAGCATGCGTAGCAGCTGTGTGGATATAGGTCGGTTTTGCTCTCCTGCCCCTGTTTCTTCGTCTCCCCCCTCGCCCTCCTTCGTGCTCCCCCTCCTTCCCGTCCTCCTCGGCCTTCGTCGCCGCCGTCGTCGTCGTCGTCGTCGTCGTCGTCGTCGTCGTCGTCGTCGTCGTCGTCGTCATCGTAGCCATCATCGTCGTCGCCGTCGTCGCCGTTGTCGTCGTCGTCGTCTGCGTCGTCGTCGTCGTCGTCGTCGGTCGCCTTCCTTGTTTCGGTCGTCGACGCCGGCATCATCCCAGTCGAAAGTCAGCGGCCTGCCCGCGTACGCGCCCTCGCGCACCGCAGTGTCCACGGGCTGCGGGGGGTTGGCCGCGTCGTTGGGCCGCCGATGCAGCGATCGTGGCCATGGAGGAGCGCGCCAGCGTTGTTTTCCGGCGGCGCCCCTCCACCAGACGGGCGGGGGCGGGCATGGGAGGAGGGACGGCAGGGCGGCGGGAGCGCGTCAGAAAAAGGACGAGTGGCAGGAGGGTGAGGATGAGAGTGAGGATGAGGATGAGAATGGGGATGAGGATGAGGATGAGGAATCTGATGATGATGATTTGATGATGGTATTGATGATGCTGATGATGCTGCTGCTGCTGATGATAATGATGATTACTATGATGGTGTTGGTGATGACTACGATGACAATTCTGAGGATGATGACGATGATGATGAGGATGATGATGATGAGGATGATGACGATGACAATGACGTTGATGATGGTGATGAAGCTACTGCTGATGATGAGGACGATGATGATGCTGAGGATGATGAAGGTGGTGTTGATCATGATGCTGTTGATGATGATGATGATGATGATGAGGATGTTGATGATGCGGATGATTATGATAATGTGGTTGATGATAATGGTGATACTGATGATTATGATGATTATGATGATGATGATGATGTTGACGATGCTGATGATGCGGATGATGATGATAATGATGATGATTATGCGGATGCTGATAATGATGATGATGCTGATGTAGATGGTGCTGCTGCTGATGATGATGCCGATGATGATGATGATGATGATGAGGAGGAGGAGGAGGAGGAGGAGGATGATGCTTCTGCTGGTGATGATGATGACGATGATGATGCTGCTGCTGATGACGATGATGCTGATGATGCTGAGGATGACGAGGACGAGGACAACGACGATGATGATGATGATCATGAGGATGAGGATGAGGATGAGGATGATGATGATGATGATGATGATGATGATGATGATGATGATGATGATGCTGATGATGCTGATGACGAGGAGGATGATGATGATGATGTTGATGATGATGATGCTGATGCTAATGTTAATGATTATGAAGATGATGACGATGATGATGATGATGATGAGGATGATGATGATGATGCTGATGCTGGTGGTGGTGGTGATGATGGTGATGACGATGACGATGACGATGACGATGATGATGATGATGATGCTGATGATGATGATGATGATGATGATGATGATGATGATGATGATGATGATGATGATGATGATGATGCTGATGATGATGATGATGATGATGATGATGATGCGGATGATGACGATGCTGCTGCTGATGCTGATGCTGATGCTGATGTGATGTTGCTGCTGCTGCTGCGGCTGCTGAGAGAAGGAGGGGATGGAGGGGGAGAAGGAGGAGAAGGGAAGAGGAGGAGGAGGAGGAGGAGGAGGAGGAGGAGGAGGAGGAGGAGGTGGAGTAGGTGGAGGACGAGGATGAACATGACGGGAAGGCGGAGGATGAGCCAGCTGTTCATCTTTTGCCTCTCCCTTGTTTCCTGCTGCTGCTGCCGCTCCTCCTCCTTCATCCTATCCCTTTTTTTTTTTTTCTCCGCTTCTCTCGTCGTCGTCGTCGTCGTCGTCGTCGTCGTCGTCGTCGTCGTCGTCGTTGTCGTCTTCGTTTTCGTCGTCGTTGTCGTCTTCGTTTTCGTCGTAGTCGTCGTCGTCGTCGTCGTCGTCGTCGTCGTCGTCGTCGTCGTCGTCGTCGTTTTCCTTGTCGTCGTCTCCTTCCGCCTCCTCTTTTTCTTTGTCCGCGACCAGGCATCCTTTCCGATTGCTTTCTTGTCCCCTTCCGCGATTGGAGGTCCCCAAAGGGCCCCCGCAGAAGTTTCAGGAGAGGTTCCTGGAGTCCCCGCGGAGGCATGCGGAGGCCGCCTGGACGTTTGCCGCAGCCTCCAAGAAGCCAGCCAACAAAATACAGAAAAACAACAACATTCAGCAGGGGCCACATCGCAGTGTCTTGGTGTGAGACAAAGTCTTGGGCACCGGAAGGTTTCACGCCCTTGCCGGGGCCAGCTCTCCCTTCCGACTTGCTCTTCCAGCGCCCCAGGGAAGCGGGCTGCTGCAGGCCGACCTAGCCTTTCAGCATTACTGACGAACTAACAACACACACCCATACCCATAGGGGGATCGGAGAGGGCTATGGGTGCGTGTTGTCGGATGGGGGTCCCCGCTCGAACGGGAGCGTTACCCAGGGTCCGACAACCCGCACCCATATCCATAGCCAGTCCTCCTCCCAACGATCCCCCTATGGGTATGGGTGCGTGTTGTCCGTTCGTCAATTACGGGAAGGTCGTTTCGAATTCCGTCTCTGGCAAGGCACTGTAGTTGCGCACACAGCTGCCCTTCCCCGCCTCCGCGGCCATGTGCCCCAGAGGCCCCACAGAGGGCCGTGCCAGCAGCACGCTGCGAGCTGTACAGTGTACAGTTCGAAGCATTGAGAGTGCAGCCAAGACGCTGAAATATGGAGCAGTTTGGGTTCGGAAGGGGCTCGATGTTCCTCGGGTCCTTCCATGGCTGTTTCTCTGGCGCTCCTCGCCCACGACGTAGCTTTCTGCTCGACGCTGGTGCACAGGAGTACAGGGACAAGAGGGAACGCGTGGAGTTGGCCCTGGATGCAGCAGCGTCCTGCTGGTGCACGCTGGTGCACGCTGGTGCACGCCGCACGAGCTGGTGTACGATGGTGCACGCCGGTGGACGCCCCGCCGCCCCAAGCTGGTCGCCACCTCACCTGCCCCACGTGCGGGTGGAAGCCAACGGCCGCCACTTGCCAGGCGCGCCGCGCCGAGGCGAACCGCCACTGGCGCGGCTGCCAAGGTGCCAACGCCCCCCGCGCTGCTGACGGCGGCCGCGCCGCCCGCGCAGCCGCCGGCGTCAACGGCCCCCTCCGCGGCGCTGCCGCTTCCGCTCCCTGGCAGGCTTTCCTGGCCAAGCGCAGCCCATGCATCCGGCCCGCCTTCTGCGACCTCCTCGGCACGGAGGCCCGCCGCCGCCAGACCACGCAGGGCACCGCCGCCACCTGCAGGTGCGCGCGGTGTGGCCCGAGTCGCACCCTCGCCGAGGCCCGGCGCTGCCCGTGCACGGCGAGGACCAACGAGCAGACAGTCTCCCGGGCACAGCTCCTCGCGAGCTCCCCGGGCCCCCTGAAAGCCGAGGCCACGCGGGCCGAGCACGCCGCTGCCAGGCGGAAGCACGCGACGCCGGAGGGCGAGCTCGGAAGCCCGAGCGCCTGGCCGAGCTCCAGCGGGCGCCCCGCCAGAGGCACCGCGCAGCGAACCTGGCCGAGCTGCGCCGGAGCTGCCGCGAGAACCGGATGCTCCGCCAGGAGCAGGCGCGGCCGGCTCGTGCCAGCTGGACTCCCGCGCGGCGCGCGCGGGAGGCCGGCCGCCACTTCGTCTGCCGCAGCCTCGCGGAGGCCCGGCGTGCCGAGGGCCTCTCGCGGTGACTGAGCAAAATGCACCACGCCCACTGCCTGGAGACGCCGTGCCCGACCGCCGAGCTGGGCCGGGGTCCTCTCCAGCGGTGGCGATGTCAAGCAGGTGCGCAGGCTAGACGTACCAGCCGACGGTTTTTCACGATGTATTTCGAGCCGGGTCGGGCCGTCCTCCTCGTAGGGGTCCTGACCATGGCGTTTTTCAAGCACGTGTGCATGCTGGGCGTGCCCATCGACGCTTTCACGCTGCCCTCCGAGCTGTGTCGGGTCGTTTCCCCCATAGGTGTTCTGGCCGAGATCGTTGGAAAGCAGGTGCGCATGCTGGGCGTGCCCCTCGACGGTTTCACACTTCTTTTCAACCAAGGTCGGGTCGTCTCCTTCGTAGGTATCCCGGCCGGGATCACTCGCAGAGGCTCAAGGTGTCTCAAAGGACGTCCCTATCGAGACGATTTTTTGGCACTCGTTTGCAAGCAGGTGCGCATGCTGAACGTGCCCCCCGACGGCTGCACGTTCCTCTTCGAGCCGCGTCCGTTCGTTTTCCCTCATAGATGTGGCCAGGATCATCTTCAAGCAGGTGCGCATGCTGGGTGTGCCTATCGACGTTTTCATGCTGTTCTTCAACCTAGGTCGGGTCGTCTCCTTCATGGGTATTCCGACCGGGATCTTTTGCAAGCAGGTGCGCATGCTGAGCGTGCCCGTCGACGTATTCACGTTCCTTTTCGAGCCGTGTCCGGTCGTCTTTTTCCTAGAGGGGCTGGCCGGGAACATCTGCAAGCGGGTGCGCATGCTGGGTATACCCATCGACGTTTTCACAGTGTCCCTCGAACTAGGTCGAGTCGTCTACATCGTAGGTGTTCTGGCCCGGATCGTTGGAAAGCAGGTGCGCACGCTGGGCGTGGCCATCGACGTGTCCACACCTTTCTTCGAGCTGGGTCGGGTCGTCTCCATCATGGGTGTCCTGGCCGGGGTCGTTTGCAAGCATGTGCGCACGCTGGGCGTGGCCATCGACGGTTTCACACTGTCCTTCGAGACGGGTCGGGCCGTCTCCATCGTAGGTGTTCTGGCCGGGATCGTCTGCAAGCAGGTGCGCATGTTGGCCGTGTTCATCGACGAGCCCTTCACGCAGGTGCCCATGAAACGCTTCGCGTACACCGTTTTCCTCCTCGTCTTCCCCTGGCAGACCCGCTGGTCGGAAGGGGTGACACCGCTGAGGACGTCACGGTCGCCTCGAGCAGCGTCACCAGCCTCACCCGCGCCAGGGCGGAGGCTATATTCAGGCATCAGCAGTTAAAGTCGATCACGGCGATGGCCTGGAGCGAGATCCGCCCCGCAGTGCAACGACCTCCTTGGCTCATCAAGCTGGCTGCCCGGTTTGGTTGGGGCGTGGCGTGTTCTGACCCGCCGCCCAAGGATGCAAGAGGCAGCAAGGTCCAGGGTGGTACCGCCATCCTATGGCGCCGCTCTGTGGGCAAGATCACGGTATGTAGAAGCTGCAGCCTCGACCACCGCGCCGTGGCCATCCGCGCGGCCAGTGCAGCCTACGTCTCTGGTTAAGGCCCCGCCCAGGGCGATCCTGCCTGGCTCACCAGAGCAATTGGTTGGACCCGGGACATGGCGGGCACAGCAGTCTTGTTCGGATACCTGAATTGGAAGCGCGGCTATGGCCGGCGGGTGAGCTTAGGCGGCAGGCCGCTGCCCCTCGCGGTCCGACCCCCACAGCCGGCATCCTGCTTGCGCGCCTATTGGTTTGGGGAGGGGTTCCCGATAAAAAACCGTCACGCATGTCGAACACGTTCGTGGAAGGCATCCCGTACCACAGCCTCTCTGTTTTGACGTTGGCTGTCGAAGAGATGCACAGGCACACAGCCGAGTACGAGGCCCACAATTCAGCTTTCATCACCGCCGCCGAGACCGACGCGATCATGGAGTCGTGCGACGAGCTGATCCCGAAACCACCAGTCACGGAGTTCTTCGTTAGCTGGTGGAAGGCGTGGTACGCCAGGGCCGAACACGCCCTGGAATAAGCAACGGCCAAGCAGCGGTGTGGGTGGTATGCTCGAGGAAGCCCGAGCGAGGAAAGGGCAGCATGCCCACGAGTTGGCACACGGCGGCCCCGCCGCCGCACTGGCTGGAGGAGACGATCGCGCTCTGGCGCGCCCCCCGCCTGCGCCGCAGCTTCACCGAGCAGATGCGTCACCATTCCATGGGCGACGAGCTGCTCGGCGACAAGTGCATGACCAAGCTCGCCCAAACATGCGTGGATGGCGTCGTGAAGGCCCCGCCAGGGGGCATCCCCACGTATTGCCGTGCTCTGGGCGGCCTCTCCGCGGCCATCGCCGCCGAGCAGCAGAAGATCTCCAACTCCAGTATGCGATCGTGGGCCACCTGTTCGCCAAATGGAGTTCTGACATCTACATCTACGCCACGCCGCGCTTCCGAGCGCCTGCTCCTGCCGCCGGCAGTGCGGGGCGAGTGGAAGCCGCGCTGGGACCCCCCAGACTACGACCCGGAGCTTGCGGCACGCTGGCTGTCGTGGGCAGAGGACGTGGACCTTCCGCAGAGCGACTTCGAGGAGCACCGGTTCCCGTCTGAAGAAGATTCCACGATCTCTCAGGAAAGCCATGGGCGCTGCAGGGTTCGACGGGTGGTCGTCGCGAGAGGTGATGCTCCTGCTCCACATTGCGCCGCCCCTCACAACTGAGATGTACTGCCTGTGGTGCCGCGCGTCCATGTACCCCGTGCAGCGCGCTGGCCGCGCCCCGCGCGACCTGGCCATGCTGGTCTTCCCTTGGCGCGTGGTGGGCTTTTCAAAAAAGGACGAGAACGAGTCGCGCCCGTTCGGCGTGGCCAGCATGCTTCTCCGGAGCTGTCTCAGCGCCCTCGCGCTCGCGCTGCCAGAGGTGGCCGCCAACCAGTGCGCGTGCCGTCGGCGCGCATCCGTGGTGCTCGCTGTCTGCCAATGGCTCGTGGTCGCATGCGCGGAAAGGGGCTAGACGTGGGCCTCGCGAAGGCATGTGACAACACAGCGCACCGCATCGCCGTGGTGGCGTTCAGGAAAGAGGAGGTCCCCGAGACGGTCATCATGACGTGCAAGCTGGCCTGGGCCCGCCCCCGCGCGCGCCGCGTCTCCGACGAGCTCGTGGACGCCATCTGGCCTGCCAAAGCCTTGCCCCAGGGCGACAGCTGCGCCCCAGGAACCATGGCGGCAGCCCTCGTGCCCTGGCGCCCAGAGCCCGCCCTGGGCTGGGCGTTGTTGGACGACGGAAGCTCGGGCGCCAACGGGGAGCGCGCCTTGGGGGGATTTGCAGGCCGGGCTCGCGGCCGCGCAGGCCTTCGACAGCGACGTCGGCTTCGCGGGGAATGCCAGCAGTCGCCAGGACTGGGGCTCTCAAGGAATGCAAACGGTAGAGCACCTCGGCCTTGCGGCCGTACCGGCAGACCCATCTCAGCCCATCCTCCCGAGGGTGGGGTGGGAGAAACTGTTAGCTGCCCTCGCGGTTCTCGCCTCGCTCCCCGGGGCCGTGGACGTGCGCGAGGGGCTCGGCGTCGCATGCGTGCGCCGGCTTCGGATGTGGGCGGCCCCGCAGGTGGCGCCCGTCCCTCGCGCGGTGCCAGGGCAGCTCTTCCGGGCCATTCTACGATCAAAGTGCTCGTGGTGGTGCCAGGGGCGATGGTGGGCTCGGCGCCTCACATTGCACCCGCTTTTCTTGCCCGCCATCCTTGCAGTCGAAGCGTTGGCCATCCCATCCTCGATGTGGGGCTTATTCGTGCGACGTGCCGTATCCGAACGCTGTGAGCTGCTGGGGATAACTATTGGAAGGTTTGAGCCCGAGTGGAGACATCTTCGCCTTCAGCAGCAGAACGCGTCCTGCGTGCAGTAGCGCGGGTGCGTTGTCTTGAAAGCGTACGCGGTACGAGGCTTGACGCCGCTGGAGTGATCCGCGTCGACGTGGGCGCCCCCAGCGCCGCAGTCTGGGCCAAGTGGCACAGATCGCTGTCGCACCGCGACATGAAGTTCCTCGACATCTTCAGGTCGGGGTCCACCAAAGCGCCCGCGCGGGGGGGGGCGCGGCAGCAGAGTGCCCTTGGCGCCGCCGCCCGCTGGCCAGCCTCCGCCACATGTTGCAAGAGTGTCCACACTTCCACGGGGAACGGACAGCGATCGCCAGAGATCTACGCCTTCCTTCCTCCCTCTGGAGCACCCAGCCCCGGGTGACGTCCAAGTCAGGATGGATCACACATGCTGCGGGGAGGACCCCGGAACGACGCGGAACCATGCAGGCGGCAGCGTGCCGGATGGGGCTGGTCATCGGCTCCTGCTACGTTCGACCCCAACGGCGGCTCCTACTTCGACTAGGCGGCCGCCTTCTAGCACCATTTCAGACTCAGGGTGGTTTGCTATCAATAGGTGTGTGTGTGGTGCAAGCCGTACCAGCTGGTGTACAAGCTGATCGACGCTGGTCGACGCTGGTGTACGAAGTGGTGCGCAGCTCGTAGCGTCGAGCTCATGGACAACAGCCGCGGTGCTCGCGGCTGCTCCTGGATGGCCCCGCGTGTGGGGGGCGCGCCGGGCGGGCCGAAGGCCGAGCCGCCTCCCAGGCGCAGGGGCCGAGGACCGGTAGGGCCGAGCGGAGCGCCGAGCCGGAGCCTGCCTGCCGCGGGGGCCGCCAGAGGCCCGCGCTCAGGGGCCCCTCGGGGCGACCTCGCCGGCATCCGGGTGGGCACCGAAGCGGGCACCGAAGCGGGTTTTTCGGCGGGCACCGCTTTTTATTCAGCGGGCACCGAAGCGGGCACTTCAACGGGCACCGAAGCGGGCGCTTCAGCGGGCGAGCACTTTCGCGGGTACTTCAGCGGGCACTGCCGCGGGCACCGAAGTGGGCGACGCTTTCTGGCTGCTGTCTGTATCGTTCCCCTCGCCCTCGCCCCGCTTCGACCCCCCTTCGCCCCCTCTCCCCCTTTGCCCTCCTCGGGAGGCGGGGGGGGGCACTGGAGGAGCATGGGGGCATCCTGCTCCTCCCCCCTCTCCCCTCTCTCCTCTTTCCCCTCCTTTGGCTCCTCGTGGTGCCAGCAGCGCCGCTGTGCGCCCACACCCGACGCACCAACGGCGCTCCTTCCCCCCCGACTCACCTTTGGGCCTCCTCCCCCACCGCCTCCGTCCCTCTTCCTTCTCTCTTCGTTCCACACCGTGATTTCTGGCGAAGTCCTTCCCTCTCCTCCTTCTCTCCCTCCTCCTTGTGCTTTCGGACGGGGCTTGGACGATGACGATTCCGTTCCAGAGCGTTCCGGAACGCTATCAGAGCGTTCTGGAACGCTCTGGGACGGCCGCGGCGCCCGATACACCTTCCGCCGCGGGATCCTCGTTCCAATTTGTCCTCGTCCTGGCTTCGTCTTCTGCTCCTCTCCCCCTCCCTCCCCTCCCCTCCCCTCCCCTCTCCCTCCCCTCCCCTCCCCTTCCCCTCCCCCTCCCCTCCCCTCCCCTCCCCCTCCCCCCTCGCGGTGCCCTTCTCCTCCTCCTCCTCCTCCTCCTCCTCCTCCTCCTCCGTGCTCCGCCTACCACTCCCCCCCCTTGGGCTCAAGCCGCCGAGGCTCGCATCCAGAAGCCATCCGACGTGCTCCAGAGCCAGGCAGCGTGAAACACGGCGCAATTACAGCTCGAGAGCTCTTTGGCTTCGTCGCCCCGTGCAGCCGAGCCCGCTGGAGCCTTATCCTCCTCCTCCTCCTCCTCCTCCTCCTCCTCCTCCTCCTCCTCCTCCTCCTCCTCCTCCTCCTCCTCTGCTTCCGCCTCCGCCTCCTCCGCCTCCGCCTCCGCTTCCTCCTCCGGCGCACGGGCCCGCTGCGCTTCTCTGTGCTCAGGACGCGGACGAGCCCGAGCGGCAGCTGGAGCTGGCGATGCAGGAGAAGGAGGGGCGAGCCGCTGGGGGGCCCCAGGGGGCTGCGCCACGCCGTCGCTATGGTCGCCGTCGCCGCCGTCGCCGCCGCCGTCGTCGTCGTCGTCGTCGTCGTCGTCGTCGTCGTCGTCGTCGTCGTCGTCGTCGTGGTCGTCGTCGTCGCCGCCGTCGTCGTCGTCGTCGTCGTCGTCGTCGTCGTCGTTGTCGTTGTCGTCGTCGTCGTCGTCGTCGTCGTCGTCGTCGTCGTCGTCGTCGTCGTCGGCGCCAGACGCCCGTTCATCGCCGACAGGGGACCCCGAAAAGGAAGGTTACGTTGCCCGTCACATAATCCAGGATCAAGGATCAAATATCACGCCATTTAGGATCAAGATATCCAGGATCCTTACACTCCATATTGAGTCATTCCAGAACGCTCGAAACTCACCCCCCTTACTCCATACCCCGCTGGACAGTATCCGGTAGGCGATATTCACTACTGGCTCAATTTTGGAGCGCAAGAAAGCTAGGGAAGACGGATAAGATGAGGACCAGGGACCTACACGAATCCCCAGCGAGCAGGCTCTCGTCGATGCAATGTCGAAACGCATGATGGACATCATGGGCGACAAGCTGACGAAGCACGAGGACGCCACTTAGGAACAGTTCAACAAAGTTCAGAGCCAGATCGATGAGATAAAGTGAGATTCAGCGATCCAGCTCGAAGCACGCGAGCAGGAACATGTTCCAAAACGTTTGAGATGGATCCCGCCACAGGCACCAGGAGACCCCCAGCAAACCACACTGCGATTCACGGACAACCTCACCAAGACGGAGCGCCGCAACGTGAACCAGCGAGGTTTTCACCGCGTGCAACCTCAACCGTTTCTTGGGCATCCCATGTGACGGAACCCGCACCATGAGGGAGGATCTCATGGTGCAAGTGTTGGGAACAACTGCGGCGGCCAGCATCGTAGACGTGGAGATCGGGTGCTCTGCCTGGGGAAACGAAGTGAAGGTGCCAGTCGCGCAGTCGATGCGTGAATGAGATGCCAAAGGCCTCCCAAAAACTAGCCTGCCCGCTCTGGTATCATGCCGGCCCTACCAAATTGGAGCACTTACTCGGTTGTGCGATTTTGCCTTTATCCTTCCCTTGGATCCCTTGTGCCCCGCCTGGTGGAACGCATCCTGAAGTGGCGTGATCGAAGTTGTCGGCGCCATCGTCGTATGTGTCGTCAGGAACCAGGGATGCTCCAACCTATGCGCCGAAATCACCCGCAAGCACCATGTGATGCCGTGTTTTGATGCCCTCTTTGTGAATCCCATTGAGTGTACGAAACATGCTGCGCCCAATTGTAAGTTCAGCCGACCTGTCGGCAACGATACCGCATCGAGTCTGGGCGAAAGAGCTCGTGTTCTCCGAACGTGTTGGTCCAGCGTCGATGTCTGAGGATAGCGACTCCATGGGTTGCTTTGTTGTTGCCCGATCTGGCCGAGGCGTGTCCCGCCGAGGTTTTCCAACACTTTTCTGCTGTTGTTCGCAACGCTTCGTTGACGATGTCGAAATCCCACTAATTGGTTTCGACCTCCTAGACTACCTCACTGACGCGGACCCTGTTGAAAGTGGCTAGATGTTTTTGTGCAGGACTTCGATGTGTGCGCGGTCGTTCTGCTCTGTCTGATGATGCTGCTGGCTGTAAACGATACTCTTGTGCGGGCCGGGCGTTGGCGTTGGCCGATTGTGCTGCTGGGAGGTGGGGGTGCTCGGCTTCGCTGATGGTTCCTGCGTTGTGTTGCTGTTATTCTGCGCGGTGGCGAATGTTGGTGCTGTTGGCGGTGGTGCTGGTCCGCGGCGGTTGTTGGTGTTGGCGCTTGCTGGGGACCTGCAGTCGCCACTTCTTTTCTGAGGGTCTGTGGTTGTGGGTGGTGCTGTGGGTCTGTGGTAGTCGATGTTCGTGCTGCTGGTTCATGGTCTGCTGGTGACGCAGCTTCTGGTCTGTGGGTCACTGGTTGCTGGTAGCGCTGTGGGTCTCTGGTGGTCGGTGGCTCTGCTGCTGGATGCTGTCGGGTTTTTGGTGGTGTTGCTGGTCTCCGAGTCGGCTGGGTTTCGTGGTGCTGCTGACTTGCGGTGGTCGGTTGCGGTGTTGGTCTGCGGGCGTGGGCCGGTGGGGTGTGTGGTCAGTGGTGGTGCTGCTGGCTGGTGGCGTCTGTTGGTGTTGTAGGTTGCTGGTGGGCTATAGTCGGTGCTGCGGTTCTGTGGGTCAGGGGTTGTCAGTGGTGCTGTTGGTCTGTGGCGGTCCGTGGCTGTGCTGCTGGTGGCTTTTAGATCTTCGGTGGTGCTGCTGGTCTGTGAGTCAGCCGGGCGTCGTGGTGCTGCTCGTTTGCGGTGGTCGGCTGTGCTGCTGGACTGCGGCCGCGGGTGGGTGGGGCGCGTGTTCAGCTATTTTGCTGGCCGTTGGCGCTTGTTGGTGTAGTAGGTTGCTGTGGGCTGTCGTCGCTTCTGCTGGTGTGCGGGTCAGTGGTTGCTGGTGGTACTGCTTGTCTGTGGTGGTCGGTGGCTGTGCCGCTGCTTGCTTTTGATCTGTTGGTGGCGCCGCTGGTTTGTAGGTCGGCTGGGCTTCGTGGCGCTGCTGGATTGCGGTGGTGGGTTGTTTTGCTGGTCTGCCAGCATGGGGCGGTGGGGCGATTGGTCGATGGTGGTGCCGGTTGGTGGCATCTGTCGGAGTTGCTGGTTGTTGGTGGGCTGTCGTGGCTGCTGCTGGGTTGATGGTCGTTGGTTTTTGTTGGTGGTGGTGGCGGTCTGTGTCGGTGGCTGTGCTGCTGGTTGCTGGTCAGATGTCGGCGATGCTACTTGTTTGTGGGTCGGCCGTTGCTAGTGGTGCTGTTGGTTTGTGGTGGTCGGTGGCCCTGCTAGTTCGTGAGTCGGTTGGACTTCGTGGTGCTGCTAATTTGCTGTGGTCTGCTGTGCTGCTGGACTGCGGGCGGCGGTCGGTGGGGTGGGTGGTCGGTGCTTCTGCTGGTGGGTGGTGTTTGTTGGAGTTGTTGGCTGCTGGTGGGCTGTCGTCGCTGCTGCCGGTCTGTTCGGCTGGGTTCCGTGGTGCCGCTGGCTTGCTGCGGTCGGTGGCGCCTGCTGTGGTGCGTGGTGCTGCTGGTCCTGGGCGTTCGTTGGTGTTCTTGGTTGCCGGTGCGCTGTCGTCGCTGCTGCTGTTCTGTGAGTCGGCGGATGCGGGGGCCAAAACTCGAGGGGCATCTGGCTGCGTCATCGGCAGGAGGAGCCTGTCGGTGCGAGCGCGTCCTTTGGAGACCAGTGCTCGAGCAGATGGCAAGCGCCAGCGGCGACGAGCACGATCGGCTCGACTGCGGATTGGCCGAGCGGGGCGCTTTTTCCGGTGCTGCGCGGACGCCGCTGCCGGCCGAAGGGCCGTTTGAGGCCTAAGTCGGGCGTGAGTTTTCGACAGGGGAATTTTCGACGAAAAATAAGAAATACCCCCAAAATAGTCAAAACAAATCCAAAAATAAAATAGTCGGTGGACTATTTTTTGGAGCATTTTTTGACATTTTTGGGTATTTTTCGGATATCTTTGATTTTTCGTCGAAAATCCCCCTGTAGGGGGGCAGGCCCGACCTAAATTTAGGCTCCGGCTGCTGCCGCCGACTTGCAGACGTCGACCGCGGTGATATGCAGGCGCCCGCGCAGCGGCGACGGACGGCCTCGGCCACGCGAAGCGCCTCGCGCCCGAGGCCCTGGCTGGCACTAGCACCGACGCGCCCAGCTACTGCGACCAGCACAGGCGAAACCTACAGTGCCGTTGTTATTACATGCTCCGCGTGCGGATCATGTATAAAAGATGCAGGGATTTTCGCATTAAAAACAACGAGGAGTTCATGCATACATTTATTCATACATGGATCATGTATTAAACATCAGATGTTTTTAGAAAGTCCATGTATAAAAAACTGCCCTGTACGCCCAGACAAACTACCCTCCGACCCACAAACACTGGGCGAGCGCGTTGATCGGGTCGGCATCGGCGCCGCTGCCGCCTGCGCCGTCGCGGGAAGGCGACCGAGGAGGAGCGGCTCCAGACGGCGCGCGGGCGGGCTGGCGACCCTGCCGAGGGCCAGCGCGACTGCGCAGTTCAACCGCGCAGCGACAGCAGACTCCTAGTGGCGGCCGCCACGCCCGCGGAAATGTGAGCAATCTCGTGCAGCGAGCGATCCGCGCGCAGATGCGGAAGACGCGACAAACCAATGTAGCGAACGTGTTTTGGGCAGTCCAGAGACGCGGCGAGCAGTGCGCGCGTCCAGGCGCGTGGGGCGCGGGCTCTCTTTGCCCGCGTGGCGAGGAGGAGGAGGAGGAGGAGGAGGAGGAGGAGGAGGAGGAGGAGGAGGAGGAGGAGGAGGAGGAGGAGGAGGAGGAGGAGGAGGAGGGCAAAGATGGCGCCGAACGCACGGCGAGGCATTCAGTGGCAGATGGCTTCGCGGATGCTCACGGGCGCCCGTGCAATGCCGCGGTGGAGAGCGCGCGGCGGGGGCCCGCGAACGACGACCTCCCACTCTGCGCACCGACGGAGCTTGGCGTGGTGATCGGAGGCCCCCAGCTTGGCGAGGCCTCTCACGCGGGGGGCCCGCGCGCAGGGATGGGTGCCGAGAGGGGTCGCGGGGGAGTTCGGAAGTGCATTTCCCCACTTGCAGCGCGGTCATCTCTCTGGGGCCTCCTGGGGCTCCCAGGGTCCCAGGGAGGATATGTAACATGTGGTCTTCTGGGCCCCCAGGCTGGACCACCTCTTGCGCGGCATCTTGGAGCTCAGAGTTGCGAGAATGTCTTGTGCGAAACAGGCCGGACCACCTTGCGCACGGCATCTCAGAGCTCAGAGTTGCGAGAATGTCTTGTGCGAAACGGGCCGGACCACCTCGCGCAGTGCATCTAAGAGCTCAGAAGTTCGAGGATGTCTCAGGCGGGCTCCCAGGGTCCCAGGGAGGATATGTAACATGTGGTTTTCTGGGCCCCCAGGCTGGACCACCTCTTGCGCGGCATCTGGGAGCTCAGAGTTGTGAGAATGTCCTGTGCGAAACAGGCCGGACCACCTTGCGCGCGGCATCTCAGAGCTCAGAGTTGCGAGGATGTCTCAGACGAGACGGGCCGGACCACCTCGCGCAAGGCATCACTGAGCTCAGAAGTTCGAGGATGTCTCAGGCGAAACGGCCCAGACCACCTCTCGCGCGGCATCTCCGAGGTTAGAGTTTCGAGGATGTCTCAGGCGAAACGGCCCGGACCACCTCTCGCACGGCACCTCGGGGCTCAGAGTTTCGAGGATGTCTCAAGCGAAACAGCCCGGACCACCTCTCGCGCGGCGTCCCGGAGCGCACATTTTCGAGGATGTCTCAGGCGAAACGGCCAATCGCGGTGGCGCCGCGCAGTGGGGCCCATGCACTTCCGCAGAACTTTCCCGAACCCCTGCGCGTTTCGACTACTGCGCCACCGTGCGCGCTCGAGCCTTTTATGCGCCACCCCCGACAAAGACCAGGAACATTCTCGGGGGGATGATGCGCGCGCGGGCAGTTGCCGGGCCATTTCTGCCCGCGCAGGGCTCGGGCTGTCTGCGGCGCAAAGAACATCCAGAAGTCGAGGGAGTTCGTGGACTGGCTGTTGAGCCAGGCATCGCGCGTTCAGCGACGCCCGGGATGTGTGGCCTTCCGTGCCGTCGCATTCCGGGGCAGAGATTGGGTCGAAGATCGGGGCTGGGCTACGCGAGCTCGGGCCCGTGCTGCCCGCGGCGGGGTCTTTCTATTCAGCCAGACGGGGTGGGTCGAGAAATGCGGCCTAGGTGGCGGACGCAACTCGACGTTGCGTTGGGGACATGCTGGACAGATGTTGCTATTAGTAGGGCATCGAGATGAATGCGTCGAGAAGTATCCGTACCTAGTCTCAGGTCTTGGCCTGGTGGCTAGTCGCCGCGCTTCGAGAGCGTATCATTATCACAATCATCGTAAACATCGTCGCCTACTGCGCGAGCGAGCCAAAGCGCGGGGCCCAAACTGACAGGTCGCAGCGCCCGGCTTCAAAAAACGCTTTGGGTTCTGTCGATCGGGAGTGCATCAGGGAAGCACTGAGGGCGCAAGGGGCCCAATTCGGATACATCTCACCACTCCCGCCGCTGAGCGGGGGAGACAGCCACGTGGAAGGCGGACGTCAGCAGCTGGCTTAGCACCCGTTCGTGGGTTGCACGGCAGGACGATCCTCTCGCCTCTGGTTTTTTTTTTTTGGGACGCCCGACTGGAACGCGTCACAGCGCCGCTGATCACCGAGTGGGAGTAAAAAGGCAACAGGGGGGTTTGAACTGGGATTTGCGACTCCCTCGGAGCTCGCCGACATGCGCGTCGCGGGCGGCGCGCTCCTTGCCGAGCCAGACTCACTGGCGACATCGAGCGTGCAGCAGAGCCGCGCGGGCTTGCTTGAACTGCGCCCGATGAAGACCACAGTGCTGCGTGGCCATGGTGATGCGATACGGACCAGAAGGGCGAGCTTGTGCATAGTGCTTCTCCAAGACATGGGCATCAATATCGTTTCCTACGAAGGCAGCTTCGAGTATGTCGGTCAAATCACCAGCTTCCACAACCCGATGGGCACGGATACTCACCGCTGCGCGAGGGCTGTTTTGCACGCGTGAGCTGACCAGGAAACGCATCCCACTGCTGCGCCAATTCCGATTGTTCAACAGCATGGTCAGCTCGACAACATTTTACGGAGCAGAGAAGTGGACGCTCACGGAACACCTTTGGCAGCACCTGCGACGTACCCGGAGACGCATGTTTCGTCTGATCGTCAGGACACTGCGACGACGCACGAGGAACCGAGCCGATCCAGCAGCAGCCAGGGCACAGTTGCTTTCGATAGCACGCGCAACGAGTCACCTCGCAACGACCACTTTGCAGACATCATCTGCGACGACGCGGACAGCAATCCTCAGGAGTGTGACGCACCCGCGGACAGGCGGAGACGACACATGCGCCTACACCGACACCGCTGACTTCTTCTTTCTCCTTCTCCTTATCTTCCTCCTCCTCCTCCGCCTTCTCCCCCCTTTCCTCCCCCTCCCCTCCCTAACTTTTTAATGTTTGGGGTTGCGTGTGTCCAGGCACGCCAGGATCACGGCCTCGCCCACCTGGTCTGAGCTCGGCCCCCGGCGCTTGTCCGCAACGGCGGTCCTTCTGTCGTTCGTTGCCCCCACGCCGTCGGTCTCTCGCATGGACGACACCCCTCACCACCCACCAAACCACCCCAACCCAACCCGAAGGCTCAGATTTAGCCTCGATTTCTAGTGGGGGGGGTTCGGGAAACATCGAAAAAACACGCGTGGAACCCTTACCCCCCCCAACCCGAAATTCGGGTCTTCGGGTTGGGTTGGGGTGGTCTGGTAGGTAGTCAACCCCCAGGTCGGCAAGAAAAGTCGCGACGTAAGGTTTGGGACCACCTTCGGCCGCCAGCGGCCCCTGCCTCCTGGGCAGCAGCCAGATGGCGCTTGACGAAACTCAGCCCTGGGGAGGAGGCCCCCCGCCACACGGGAACCAACACGCGCAATCGGACACTGGGAGCCACCGTGTCTCATGCGGGCAACCAACACGCAGCATGGTCCCGCCAGCGGGCGCTGGCACCTATCAGCCCGTCGTTTTCGAACAAGGCCCTCCCTCTTCCTTGCCCCCCGCCCGACCACCTGAACCCCCCCCCCGCACCTTTCCTGGGGTCGGCTTGACCAGGATCTCGAGGCGGACGGCCTCTCGGCGACGATGGGCCCCGGAGGCCCACAATGGCGGAACACCTTTCGAAAGCCTGGAACCTCGAACCTCCAATCCTCCCTCTCCTGGCTGCTCTTCAGACGTCCGCTTCCCAGCCGCGCAGGATCGCGGCGCGGAGCTGTACAAACAGCAACGCTTCGCGGAAGCCAAGGAGGTCTGGGCGCAGGCCACCCGGGGGAGCGGAGGGCCCGCCAGTGGGGCGAGGAGGCGGGGGCGCAGGGGAGAGGCGTGAGTGCGAGCGTTCGGGAAACGAGTGAACGACTGCGCTTCCTCTTCTTCATTCCCAATGGGAAAGGCGGTCCCACGAATCTGGCGGATGGCGGAAAGCGCGCGCAAGCTCGAAGAGTCGCGCGATGGACGTCGCATCCCGACTCGGAGTGGGAGTTTTTTGGCCACTCCCCAGAAGGCCGATGCATGTGAAACCTCTTCTTGCCACCAGTTCTCGGGGAGCTCTCATGGGGCCTATTCAGGCCGTCTTGGGGCTTTCTTGGTTTCCTGTGGGGCAGTCCCGGGGTCCCTGGGTCCTCTGGGGCCCTCTGAGGCCGTCTTGGGGCCTTGTTGGGCGGGCTTGAGGCTGTTTTTGGCTCCTCGAGGGCCTCCTGGAGATCATCTTGGGGCCTGTTGGATGCCTCTTAAGGCCTTCCTGAGCCGTCTTAGAAGCTTCGGAATGCCGTGGGGAGCCTGAGGGAGGCGTCGGGCCGCTGGGGCAGCTTCGGGAGAGAGAGGGCCAGTGCACGTAGCGAAGTGTGACCGGGAGGGGGGCGTCTCTTCCATCAACGCTACTAGGCAGCACTTGTCGGCGACTACAAAGGGTATGGTTACACCAGGGTGTGGTTTGCGATCGGCACCGTTGGGGCCTGGGGGGCACGACGCTGTCCTCGTCGGGGCTTCTTGGGGCGCGTGAGAACTCTATCGAGGTCCCCGCGCGCCCCCCAGGGTGCCCCCCAGGATGCTCCCCAGAGTGCCGGTTGCAAACCACACCCTTCGCAAACCACACTCTTCGGAGTCGCCGAACTTAGCATTCGACCGGGCCGCCTCAACGTGCCGTGGGGCACGGTGGCGTAGTGCTGCTACCACTGCTTCGGTAGAGTAGTGGCAGCAGGGCCACTCGGCCGGTCACCGCGTGCTTCGCGCAGCGCTCTCGGCGAGCTGATCGGCGCGACGACTTCGGTATTCCTTGGTGACAGAGGTGGGGCCCCAATCGACCCTTCCCCGCAACTCGTTATTCATCCCCAGACCCCCGACGCCATGATTTTTTCATGACGCGACCTCCAGAGGTCCGGACCTATTCGCCGGGACCGGTTTTTCACCCCGAGTCGTTTTTTGACGGTCCCGAGGGCCGGTAAGGGCCCCCGGAGGCCGAAAACATAGAAAAACCTCCCGTCGAGATTTTTTCATGACTCGAGGGGGTCTGGGTCCCGAGCTGGATTTTGACGGTCCCGGGGCCCAGGAGCGGTGTCCATTTTCCGACAGGGCGAGCGATTCTTGGCGCGATTGCGTTGCGTCGCCAGAGGTCAGGGCCCCTCTTCCCGATCCTGTCCCCTTCCCCCTCCAGCTCTGCCTCCGCTGTCGCCGCCTCGGTCCCCGTCCCTATCCTTGTCTCGGCACCATTTCTGCCTGGGTTTCCGCTCTGGTTCCATCGTCGTGCCCATCCTCGTCTTCGCCCGTCTCGTCGCCCTCGTCGTCCCCGCACCAGCTTCCCTTGCCCCCGTTCTCTCCCCCCCTCCCTTGTTCCGCGAGTGTGGGTCTGGTGGTCATTTCGGCGCCCTTCCCCGGCAGGGGGAAGAAGAAGGAAACCAGAACTGGAACCGGAACTGGAACCAGAACCATAACCAAAACCACAATGGAAAAGGGCCGAAAGAAGACAAACCCAAACCGGAACCATGACCGGAAGCAGAACCAGAACCGGGACCTCAGGGGCCCTCCGAACCAAAGAAGAAGAAGAAGAAGAAGAAGAAGAAGAAGAAGAAGAAGAAGAAGAAGAAAACCGGAACTGGAATTGGAAGTGGAACCGTGACCTAAGAGGCTTTCTTCGGAATGCGGAAGAAGAATACGGAAACTTGAACCAAAACCGGAACCAGAACCAGAACCAGGATCTGAGGCGTTCCTGGGCCAGAAGAATAAGAAAAATAAGAAGAAGGAACCCGGAACCGGAACCGGAACCACGACGACCGTCATGGACCAAAGAACAAGAAGGAAACCAGAACCAGAACCAGAACCGGAACCAGAACCGTGACCCGAGAGGTCAATTTTGGGATCCCGAAGAAGGAGGAAGCCAGAACCAGAACCGGAACGGGAACCAAAACCGTGACCTGGAAGTCTCTGGGACCCCAAAGAAGAAGGAAACCGGAACCAAAACTGGAACCCAAACCGTGACTTTGGAGATCTTGAGAAGGAAACCGGAACCGGAACCAAAGTTTGAGAGGTGGGACCCCGAAGAAGAGAACCAGAACCGGAACCAGCAAGACCGTAATTTTGGGGGGTTTTGTTTTGGGATCCCGAAGAAGAAGGGACCCGAGTGAACCGGAACCAGAACCAAAACCGTGATCTTGAAGGTCTTCTTTGGGGCCCCAGCCGAAGAAGAAGGAAACCTGAACCGGAACTGGATCCGGAACCAAAACCGTGACTTTGGAGGTCTTCTTTGGGACCCCGAAGAAGAAGGAAACCGGAATCGGGACAGTAACTGGAACCAAAACCGTAACTTGGGGGGTCTTTTTTGGGACCCCGACGAACGAGGAAACCAGAACCAGAACCAGAACCATAACCAGAACCAGAAGGGGAACCAGAACCAGAACCGGAACCAGAATGGAAACCGGAACGGCAACCGTGACCAGGACTGGTCTTGGTTCTGGTCGTGTGGCGGAATTTTATCAGGTAGGCTTCATAATGCAAACGTGCATTCCGACCACGACCAAGATCAGGACTGGTTCTGGTCGCGGTCGCGGACTGGCATCTTTATTGAGCTATTGCAATAATGTGCCCCGACCGCGCCCTGCCCGAGATCAAAACTGGAACTGGTCGCTGTCTCTGGGCGGCATTCTCCTGATAGTGCACCCTGACCGCAACAAGAGTCTGGCAACACAGAGTTGGCTGAATTTACTTTGGCGGTGAACCCTGCCTTGCAGGGGGGGCTAGTGGAACAGGGGCGCGTCTAGCACCAATGAACTTGTTTACACTCACGTGTTAATCAGCTTGGGAAGGATCCTTGCCGCACCACAGCGCGGCACGTCAAGCACTGAGGATGGTTTTTTAATCAGCTTGGGGAGGGGCCTCGACTAGCAGAGGGTGCTGCACCACAGCGGGTTGCGTCCAGCACCAATGTTTTTTGTTTTTTTTGTTGTTGTTTTTGTTTTAATAGCTTGAGGAAGGGCCTTGCCTAACAGAGAGGCTGCACCACACAGGGGCATGTCTAGCACCAAGGATGTTTTGTGTGTGTGTGTGTGTGTGTGTGTGTGTGTATATATATGTGCCATCTTGGGGAGGGGCCTTGCCTAGCAGAGGGTCACAAAAGGGCACGTGGTACACCAAGGATGTTTAGATGGTTAAGACATCATATTAGGGAGGGGCCTCGCCTAGCAGAGGGTGCTGCGCCACAGTGGGGCACGTCTAGCACGTTTCCCCCCCCCCCTCTCTCTCTTGTATTTGTATATACAAATAGACGACCATTTACAAAACAAACCAAAACACAGGGGCACGTCGAGTACCAAGGATGTGTTTTGAATCACCTTGGGGAGGGGCCTTGCCCAGCAGAGGATGCTGCACCTCAGTGGGGGCACGTCTACAACCAAGGATGCTGTTTTATGCTGTGCCACACTGGGGCACTTCTAGCATCGAGGACTTTTTGTTTGTTTTCATTCAGCTTGGGGAGGGGCCTTACCTAGCAGAGGGTGCTGCGCCAAACAGGGGCACGTCTAACAACAAGGATGCTTTTTTTAAACACTTGGGAAATCAGCTTGGGGAAGGGGCCTTGCCCAGCAGAGGGTGCTGCACCACGCTGAAGCACGTCTAACACCAAGGACGCGTTTGTTTAAATCAGCTTGGGGAGGGGCCTTGCCTAGCAGAGGGTGCTGCGCCACGCGGGGGCACGTCTAACACCAGGGATGTGTTTTTAATGGTGCTGCGCCACACTGGGGCACGTCTAGCACCAAGGATGTCTTTGTTTAAATCAGCTTGGGGAGGGGCCTTGCCTAGCAGAGGGTGCTGCGCCACGCAGGGGCACGGCTAACACCAAGGATGTTTTATTTTTGTATTCAGGTTGGGGAGGGGCGTTGCCTAGCAGAGGGTGCTGCACCACACTGGGGCACGTCTAACGCCAAGGATGATTTTTTGTTGTTTTAAAACAATCAGCTTGGGGGAAGGGCCTTGCCGGGCATATGGTGCTGCACCACACAGGGGCGCGTCTAACACGAAGGATGTTTTTGTGTGAATCAGCTTGGGGATGGGGCCTTGCCTAGCAGAGGGTGCTGCACCACGCAGGGGCACGTCTAGCACCAACGATACCGTTTTTATCCGCTTGGGGAGGGGCCTTGCCTAGCAGAGGGTGCTGCACCACACAGGGGCACGTCTAGCACCAAGGATGTCTTTGTTTAAATCAGCTTGGGGAGGGGCCTTGCCTAGCAGAGGGTGCTGCACCACGCAGGGGGCACGTCTAACACCAAGGATGTGTTTTGACTCAGCTTTAGGCGGGGCCTTGCCTAGCAGAGGGTGCTGCACCGCACTGGGGCACGCCTAGGACCAATGATGTTTTTGTTAAATTGAGCTCGGGGTGGGGGGCCTTGCCATGCAGAGAGGGCTGCACCACAAAGGGGCACGTCTAACACCAATGATGTTTGTCTGGGTTGGCCTTGCCTAGCAGAAGGTGCTGCACCACGCAGGGGACACGTCTAACACCAAGGATGTGTTTTTGAATCAGCTTAGGGAGGGTCCTTGCCTAGCAGAAGGTGCTGCCCCTTCAGTCGTGCACGTCTAGAACCAAGGATGCTGTTTGAATCAACTTGGGGAGGGGCCTTGTCTAGCAGAGGGTGCTACACCACACTGGGGCACGTCTAGCACCAATGATGTTTTTGTTAAATTGAGCTCGGGGGGGGGCCTTGTCTTGCAGAGAGGGCTGCACCACGCAGGGGCACGTCTAAAAGCAATGATGCTTGTTTAATCAGCTTTGGGAGG